ATTCATCTAGACCTAATGAAATTTTAAGAGTGCTACAAATTGAGTAAAACACTATAGATTTTAAATTGTTTCATTTTAGATCAAGGGTGCAGACCAGCCTAACTGCATAAGAATACCATAGAATTAGAATTCTTTTGTTTACAGTGTATAGAGGGTTTTAAAACATACTAAATTAAAACTAAATTTGACTAGACCATACTCGGTCTACCTGATCAATACATATGGTTCACAGCGTGTGTGACCGGTCGACAGGGGATGCTTACTCCTCCTAAGCACCTGATCTCAACCCTCTGGAGTTTTCCAGGGGACCGTGTTTTTTTTTTTTAATTAAAAAAAAATTGTACTGTTTTTAAGAATTTGAGATCAATCACCTTATTCATTCTGCATTAAGAACACTAGTAGAAATGCATGTGTAGAAGACAAATTGAATATATGATTATAATTAATAAGCAAAAGAGGACCCTCTTTCTTAAAATGTAAAATTTATGTTCCTCGGGTTCACAGCACAATGAAATAATTTGGTAGTCATCTTATATGCAAGGCCGTTAAACTTCTAGACAATTTGAAAAGGAAGCGCATTTTCCTGGCCTTGTTATGCATTGTGAGATGACTCTTTGGCATATCACAAAATTAAACTTTTCAAAACATTGTCACCTGATCACCTTTATGTAACGACGAACTTTTTAAAGCTTGTTCAACCAAAAAAAAAAAAAAAAAAAAAAAAACTTCTGACAATTTGAAGTTTACGTAATTCTTGAGGGTTGTGAAAATTATTTCGAAGTACAAAATGCTTATCTGTAAGGTAACGTTCTCTATATACATGTACATTGCAAATGTTGCAATAAAATCGGGTTGTTCTGGAGTTGGGACAAGTATTAGCGTACATTGAGTTTATTTGTACACTTTATTGTTTGTTCGTTAGATTTTCTCACCTCTTAGAAATTGCAGTGCTGATCATTTGAAGCCTTCATCACCTGCCTGTCAAATAGAGGGATTTCAAAAGATAAAAAGTTTTTAATTCATTAAATTTTACGTGTCTTCGTCTCAGATTGGAAATTACAAATAGATATCAATGTTATGAAATATTTAGTTTTCTGAGGAACAAGTAGAGATCGTTGTTCGAGATATATTACTGATTGATTGTGTGTTGTTTTACGTCCCATTCGAGAATTTTTCACATATAGAAGCGTCACCATAAACCGGCGAAGGGCTTCAAATTTTGACCTTTACTCGGCACTCAGGGCCATTGAGCAGTGAGGGATCTTTATCGTGCACGCCTACCGTGACACGGGGCCTCGGTTTTTAAGGTCTCATCCGAAGGACCCGCAACTTTCACTTCAAAGCGCATGGCGAAGGAACAGATGCTACCCATTTTTTATCGACTTAGGTCAGTCGCAGCCGAGATTCGAACTCACGACCTCCCGACTGAGCTACCGTGAACGGTAATATGGGATTTGAAGAACAGAACAATACACTCGTAACGAATTAGTGATATTCTACACCAAACATATGGTCCTTTGGTTATTGTAATTCACTACCATCTGTAACAAAACAGGAAAAAATCAGGAGGGTGGATTCTATCAGTGTGTTTAATGATTTTATTTGAAATGTAAAATTTATTTATATATTCTGAGAGAATATCCTCATACTTATTTTATAACGAGAGCTAGAACACTGTATCAACAGTATGCTACATAATGGAGAATAAAGGACGTCTGTAGGTCAAGGTCAACTAGGCTGCTCCAATTCTTGTCATAATGAGATGCTTCTTTTGAGAAAACACGATGTTCATTAATACTGCTAAAATGTGTTTTTTTTTATCATAATTATAAATAATTACGCGGCGACACCTATAAGTGATGAAAAGAGAATTACATGTATTAATAGTGCCTATTAGGAAGGTGATTTATTCTGATATAAAAATAATAGGCCTAAAGGAGGAAAAAATAATTTCATTACTTAATGATATACTTATTTTACTTTACTTTTACATAAAGGCCAGGTCCCAAAGACATTGGAAGTTCATTTTTATTAACCGTGAGCTGTTTAGCTCAACAGTATAATTATACATAAGTTTCGTAAAAAAGATTTTAATATGGCAACATCTTATAAAAGTTTCTGGAGAATAACAGGCTCCGGGGCCATAAAACTTAGATGAGCTCACTTTGAATACAGTCTTACTTTTATACTATAAATTCCTTTGGTAAAAGTGAGACTGAGATAAAAAGTGAGTTCGTCTTTTTTATGGCCCCGGAGCCTGATGTAAAGTAACATCTATGGTAGCATTACCTTATAGTAAACATGTCATGTATAGGGAAGTACACATATACAGGAAATTGTTTCTCAGCTTTGTTGTATAGTTAGATATTTATATAAATTCCTTGAATTTGAAAGAGTTTGGTAAGTGGTTTCCAGAGAATTCTGAAGAGACTCTTTTTTCTTAGTTTCTGGACGTGTTACTAGCCACAAAAATTTGTTTTCAGTCTGCCTAATATATTATTTAGCAGATTTGACAAGTTATACAGTATATTCAGTTTGTTCTTGCATGCCATGCTGTTTTACCTGGAATGTCTCCAGGATTTATATTGTCCTTTCTTGAGGAAGAAAAGGTTTTAAATTTACAATTCTTTCTTTACAATTTACAGTACTATGACAAAATGCCACCTTAAATGTAATTTTCTGCCACCAGTTTAAGGATGATCATTTGTCAGGGCTCGTGATTATTCAAAGGAAATACAAAATGCATTTCCTTAAAAATATTTTAAAGTCGGTAATGAATGGTATCATAATGTTCAGTTGATGATAATTAGCGATGATTTGTTCACAAACAGTTAACTCAATGATTCTCGTGTTTTTTAGTGAGAGTATCCAATAAAAGGTGAATATCCTTCCCAAGCTTATGTACTTCCGGGAACTTGACAACAGGCTAAGTGCGAAATGCATTTCGCACATATTAAGATATTCTTCGCAACGTGTTTATCGAAAAACGTTGCTTAAAGTTTACAAATTCAAAATTAAGAATGCATTTTTTAATAATAAAATGTTCATTAGAAGACTGGAAGAGATAAAAGAAAGACTACATGCACAACATGTTACATGTATATTGTTTCCAATTGACAAGGCTTTGTTGTACGGCTCACTGTTACAACTGTTTTGAGAAGAACTTGGCTTTAATTCCACATCTGGTAATCCAACCTATTCTCACAGTTCCCTTTCAAAAGTTGAAATTCTTTAGAATTTAGCTAGAAATACTTTTAACATACTAGTCAACGTAAGTGACTTTGACTTACAGCACCTCTACTGGATTCCAAAACTTCATGAACATCCTTACAAAGATACATTGCAGGGTCAACTAAATGTTTTATCAACCCCCACAAAGATATTAACTGCTGCTACGGAGAAACTTCAGACATACTCTGCTACAAATATGCAATAAGTGGTGTAATCAAATGTGGATTCTCAAAAAATCCAAAGCACTTTTATATAATTAGAAATCTAAAGAATTCCAAATATCCAAATGTATGGCTTTCTTAAACATTTTATGAAACTATTCCTCACGATAAACTAAAACATAAAAGATGAAACTCGGATAGAACTGTATACTGAAGTCAGTAACATCAAAACGTACATTTGTACACTTTATACAACAGCAGAGCCAACATGGACCTCTGAAAACAGAGGTGGGATCAGCTGCCATGGAGGAATAAGCATCCCCTGTCATCTGGTCATACCCGTTGTGTACTTCTTGTCATGATCAGGTAAATGGAAAATCCGTGTACAATTCAGTGTGAAAATAATGGCCTAACGATTAGTATGAAAGACGTCAGTCAACATTCGACTTAACGGCAGATTGTATTTGCAAATGTATTGACCATAGAATTTGCAAATGTTGACTTTTAACGAAATTGTTGATATCTTTGAATCATCAACTTATTTGTTTATAGCCTACTTTTTTTTTTTTTAGATATTGTTCATAAGTAGAACACACTCTTGTATATCGAATCAAGCTGGGGACAAAAACTCTATATGAGGGTGATTATGGTATATAGCTACATAAATAAAAGAAGTTGTCGATGGAAAAATGAAGTCATCACGTTTATCATTAAGTTTAGTTGACAGTTTGCCATCAATGACTTTCTTTACTAAAACATCCATATATGAAACATATGTGCCAGACTCTGTGGTATCTTTTATTTCGAGTTCAATGTGATATATCGAATCAACGTAGGAATAAAAATGAATATTTTCAATTGATAAAATGTCGTCGATATTTCTAAATGTCGAACTGAAGGCAACAGCAAGAGACTTTTTCTTTTCATGCAGAATAAACTCTTGTCTCCTTTGATTTCACCCCGTTTTCAATTTGGCCACTTTCTCGTCTACGAAGGCCAAAGGGGCGAAAATAAAAAGAGTCGAAAATTTCCATGAATACAGCAATATTTTGTGTAATTGGAAACAACCGATGAACTAATGTGAAGAAAATTAAGATTCTGTGACATCCACTGTATATTTCAAACAGGTAAAGGTAGGTTTCCCAGGTAAAGGTAGGCTTCTCACCTGTTCCTAGAGAAAAATATCCACCTGTTCATGTAAAAGGTAAACATGTATTGAAGATGAAAATGTTTTATACTGTCTAAACTGACTGAAAGGTACAAATTAATTATTTGTCTAATAATCTATACCAAAAACAATGATAGGGACTCGCAGAAATAATTTGAAATGCTTATCTAGCGATTAGTAGTATATTAAGTATCTTAAGATATAGACAGAATTTTTGTGTAAATATGGACATTGCTTAGAAAGAGAAGTGTTGCTTTCTGGCAGGTGAGTGTAATACTATAACTGTCCCTTCAATCAAAGTTATCTCTTGAATAGAATTATTGCCTATCCAGAAAAAAAGTTATTTAGAATTTTAAAAGCAAATTTAACTCTATGATAACAAAAACTTCAAAGATAAAAAGAATCAAATATGATTCAAAATAAAATTTCTAAACTCTAACTAATTGTACCATTATTATTTAATTGTCTCTATTACTTACTACTGTAACGTTTGTTTCCTTAAGCTACTTTACACAACCATTTCAGTATAAATTAATTTACAAGAAATATGTTAAATTTATAAAATGCATTTCAACATTAATAGTGTTTTTATGCATATTACTGTTCCCTTTTGATGAACGTGTATACAAAGAATGAGAGGTGATATAAAGTTACAATGACGGAGATTAACACTGCATCAAGACACTTCTTGGAAAGGCACTGAGATTAATCTGTTTCATGACGCCTTGACAATGACGAGGAAGGTTTGAATAGACCTTATTTAGATGAATGATTTAGTTTCTCAGGTTTCATAAAAGTTCTTGTCTGGTTTGGGGGTCCACAGACGGGGTAGAGGAAGGTACTGTTGAGGTTTGCAATGAGAATCAGAGTCGCCAAGAGGGGGAATCCAGTGTCCATTGATACAGGTGGCGCCACTGGCCCCGGAAATTTCATACCCCGGGTCACACTGGAATTCCAGCCTCTGCCCGTGCTTTATCGTTGTTACGTATGGAGGGAAGTTGAACCGAAGATTTTTTGGTTCCTTTTTGATTATTTTTCCATTTGATATAGTCCGGGGGTTAGGACAAAAAACTACAAAAGAAAAGTATGATGGAATAGAAAAAAATACTGCTTTCACAATAAATAGAGATTCAATAGTTGCTTCGGGTGACACCTTTGGGTGAAGTGAAAAGGAATACGTGCATTTGCTCACACAAAAAGAATAAAATTTTAATACGATTCAGAGATATTTATGTGAATATATAGACTGGAGCTGATAGAATATTGACAAAGAAAGATAACTTCTGTTTTGTTTTATAAGATTTCCACGGTTGCACCCTTCGTTCATTTTATTTGAAGAATTCTTGAAGACACTTCCAACCCCTTATGAATCAATCATGCTGTGAAATAAATTTAAACCAATCTTAAAAAGAATTAAAAAAAGATGATATCTCACATTCCTCGCATCTTGGATTACCACCGGTCCATTTTCCCTTGTCACAAATAAGAAAAGGTGAGCTCTGGCTCATCCCTCTCAGTATGAAGCCGTTATTGCAAATGTAACGCGCCCTTCGCCCGTGCTCTTGACCAATGAAAAGTCGTATACCATTCTGTACATGGGGTGGTGGCGATGGACAAGGTGCTATTGATATGATAATAATTTAAATCACAGAAAGGAATATTGATTATTTCAGTTCTTCAGATATTGTTCTAATTGTATATTAAGCAATGAAAATCAAAATGTTTCTAAAGTTATAAAACAAATATAACAAAAAGGATTATTATCTGTCTTCCATGTGCTTAGAGCAATGAATTTATGATTAATTCCCTGATCTCAAAGCAGAACGCTTATGTCATGTCATGGGTTTAAGAGATTTGATATAGTTCTTGATTCAGTTTATATATTACACGCCTTTCCAAAACTGAATTGAATGTGCTGAAGCTGCATTACCTGGAACACACTTAGGGGTGCTAGGAGTAAAGGTCCCATTATAACATGTCACAATCCGTGATTTTATGGGGACCAGTCCATTTTTACAGTTGTACTCAAAAGTGCTCCCGTGATTTATCCATGTTCCTACAGGATACCCCTGCACTTCCGCGTTTTCAATATTTGGAATCGAACATTGACCTGATAAATAGGATAGGGAAACATTTGAGCAAACTCAACAGATAATCTCCCCTTGGTCTGGTCAGCCTGGTCAAGGACTTTGGATATGGTTATGGATTAAAAAATAAAAGGTAAGAGAAATTTACTTTGAAATAGCTGTTAGCTGAAGAAAAATGAGGTGACTAGAAGTACTTTCACAAAAAGGTACTCACCCCAACAGGTCGGCGGCGGATTTGACCATTGTCCATTACTCAAACACTTCGTCTCAAAGTACGGACCATCAAAAGTTGTTCTAACTATACAACTAAAATAGAGACAATATTAGTTATAGTCTTCATAACGCACAACTAAGAATAACATTACTGGTAAATATTGTGCGCAAGATACAGCTAAAAAACATCAAATGTGATCATCAGGTATAATCCTCACGATTAACTGAAAATATCATTGTATTCCTAAAAATGCTTATCAAGGATTTCTACAAGCTACAACTAAACCAGACACATAAAACGTGGTCTTACACAACTCAGATTAATCAAATATAATCTTCACGATTAACTTAAGTAAAATCATCATAACTGAAGTCCTCACAATGCTTTGCCAGAAACAACATGGAATGTGTCCCAAGATGCAACTTAAATCTTTCGAAATTTGTCATCTTGACGACAAACCGTAGATAGGAACATCAATTTTATTCCTTTAGAAACAGTTCAATGTAGTCTTCAAGAAACACAACGGAAACAATGTGAATCATCCTCAGAATAATAACAGTAACAATATAACGGTCCTAAGAATACTAAAAATAGAAACCGTTCTAAGAAAACTAAAAATAGAAACAGTTAAAGAAACAACATCAACCGTCCTCAGAATACTAAAAATAGAAACAGTGACACTATCAACAATCCTCAGAATACTAAAAATAGAAACAGTTATAGAAACTGTATCAACCGTCCTCAGAATACTAAAAATAGAAACAGTTATAAAAACAACATCAACCGTTCTCAGAATACTAAAAGTAGAAACAGTAACAACATCAACCGTCCTCAGAATACTAAAAATAGAAACAGTAACAATATCAACCGTCCTCAGAATACTAAAAATAGAGACAGTTATAAAAAAAATCAACCGTCCTCAGAATACTAAAAATAGAAAGAGTAACAACATCAACCGTTCTCAGAATACTAAAAATAGAAACAGTAACACTATCAACAGTCCTCAGAATACTAAAAATAGAAACAGTTATAAAAACAACATCAACAGTCCTCAGAATACTAAAAATAGAAACAATTATAAAAACAACATCAACCGTTCTCAGAATACTAAAAATAGAAACAGTTATAAAAACAACATCAACCGTTCTCAGAATACTAAAAATAGAAACAGTTATAAAAACAACATCAACCGTTCTCAGAATACTAAAAATAGAAACAGTTATAAAAACAACATCAACCGTTCTCAGAATACTAAAAATAGAAACAGTAACATTATCAACCGTCCTCAGAATACTCAGTTATAGAAAAAAATCAACCGTCCTCAGAATACTAAAAATAGAAACAGTAACAACATCAACTGTCCTTAGAATACTAAAAATAGAAACAGTAACAATATCAACCGTCCGCGGAATACTAAAAATAGAAACAGTTATAGAAACATCAACCGTCCTCAGAATACTAAAAATAGAAACAGTACTAATATCAACCGTCTTCGAATACTAAAAATACAAACAGTAACAGAAACACCTACTGTCCTCAGAATACTCAAAATAGAACGAGTTATAGAAACAACATCAACCGTCCTCAGATTACTAAAAATAGAAACAATTATAAAAACAACATCAACCGTCCTCAGAATACTAAAAATAGAAACAGTAACAACATCAACAGTCCTCAGAATACTAAAAATAGAAACAGTTATAGAAACTGTATCAACCGTCCTCATAATACTAAAAATAGAAACTGTAACAATATCAACTGTCCTCAGAATACTAAAAATAGAAACAGTAACAACATAACAACATCAACAGTCCTCAGAATACTAAAATAGAAACAGTAACTTCAGAATAATAATAATAGAAACAGTAACACTAACAACCGCCCTCAGAGTACTAAAACAGAAACAGTAACAATACCAACCGTCCTCATAATACTAAAGTAGAAACAGTATCAATGTACTCTTCACAATACACAAAGGAAACAACATGAACGCTTTCGGTTTATGTTGTTTCCGTTGTGATATGACTAAAAACAAGACAAAACAAGACATCACAGATAAAAACATAAGGTCAGACGACACGTTCCTCAAAAATGTATAATTTTCCCCAAGAATTTGTGATTGAAATTTTGCTACTTTAAGACGTTTCCTCAGAAAAAAATTGTGGTACATTACCAGGCATTTGTGCAAGATTCCGGAATATGGAATTTCCTATATAATCCTATACTGGAAATCACTTGAACTGCTAATAATGCCATTTTTGGTTTATATAATTCTCAGACATTTTGAAAATAGTTTAGAAATCAAAATATAATGATAATTAAAAAGATTTGTAGTATACCGTATAAGCAGAAATTTTAGCGAGAATTCAATTTTGGCATTTTTAACGAGGGTGTTGAGATAGCTTAAATTAAATATCGCTAACAATTTATTCCGCATTAAACATTACCATTATCTTTCTATGCACTATAAAATTGCTAAAATTACTTTTCGCTAAAATCAAATACTGAGTTTTTGAGACAAATCGCTAAATTTGCGTCTCGCTAAAAATTCCACTTACACGGTATTACAAAGGAATGCAAACCAGATATTCGACGAACGTATCGTCAGCCTTAAAATGTCAACAACAATTAACCACTTCTTCCAACACCACAGTAAGATTTACAGTATATAATAATTTAAAGACGTTTACGTATGGAAAGAAAAAAAGGAATAAGGCCTTGCATTTAGCGAGCCTTGAGAGAGAAGTTCGTGACTTATTGATTGAAGAAGACCGGAAGAAATTAACAGATATGAATACCTCTATTTAGTTCTTGTACACAATTTGGGCCAAAGAAAATGTTGAAGATAGTCTTGAAAATCTTTTAAAAATCTATGATTTCAAAAAGATTTGAAGGACACTTTAGTAGCGAGTATAATTTCTATGCTAAATACCAAAATGTAAAACAAAAATAAAGTCCTTCCCAGGAATATTTTGCAATGAAGATAACGAATAATGATAGATCTAAAAAATCTAATTGTGAAAAAAGCAAACATAAAGAACAGTGATCGATCTCTCAAAAAGAAATCGTCAAACAATACAAATCTATGAACACGGCATATAACATGGACCCCTGAAAATTCCACAGGTGGGATCAGCAGCCTAGCGGAGTTAGCATCCCCTGTTGACCTTTCACACCGGCCGTGAGCACTATGCATTAAATCAGGTAGACAGGACATTCCGTAGTCAAATTTACTATAAAACAAAGGCCTAACAATTGGTATGAAACACGTCAGCCAAAGTACGACCCACTGAGAGGTATTTGCTAGAAAGTCATTAAAACGACCATAGAATTTAAAGTTGACTTAAACGAGGTACTTTATAGTTGAAATCCCTGTAAATTCTTGTAACAACAACTCATCTAGCCTCGGTTTAAAAATTGATCGTAAACAGAGCATACTTTTGACTATCAAATAAGTTGAGAGACGTTAACACCATATGCAGGTGATAGCGGAATATTACTACAAAATAAGGGACAATTGCAATTGACGAAAGAAAAGCTGAAGTCATGTCGTTCGTCGTTAGTTGGTAATTATTGCCTATAGTCAATAAAACATTCAAATATAAAACAGATGTGGCAGAGTTTGTAGTGTCTTTTACCTCAAGTTCACCATATACCGGTGAAGGGCTTAGGATTTGGTCCTTAACTTGGCGCTCAGGGCCATTGAGCAGTGAAGGATCTTGCCTGCCGTAACATGGGGCCTCGGTTTTTAAGGTCTCATCCGAAAGACCCACAACTTTCACTTCAAAATGCCGAGCGCTTGGCGAAGGAACGGTTGCTACCTATTTATTTTATTGACTGACGTAAGTCGCGGCAGGGGATTGAACCCACGGGTCATGAATGGAAGTCACTTTTGTTAATTGACAAAACGTCATCGATATATCTAAATGAAGAGTTGAAGGCTACAGCAAGTGTTTTCTTCTTCTCATGTAGAAGTTTTTGAATAAATTCTGCTTCGTAGGAATATAAAAACAGGTGGGCTAATAAAGAAGCACAACTAGTGCCCATCAAAATTTCAACAGTTTGTTGGAAGACCTGGTCTCAGAAGACTTCATAAAGGTTGTCAATAAGGAACTCCAGAATCCTTTTAAAATCAATTTTAGAGTACTTGTGTGTGGAAGCAGAGTCATTTTAACAAAGTTATTTTGTTGATGACCAATCACAAAATATGAAAATTTTTCGACTTCCATTATTTTGAAGAAGCAGTTTTCTTTCATATAAAAATTCTAGTTGAGGAATGGTTATATAAAGTAAGGGAAAGTAAACAGGATTGTCCAAAAAGAATGAATCTGATATGTTGGAAAGGAAAATGGACCTTACACATCTGTATGTGGTCTAAATTTTCTGTTATAGGTATAATTAACCTAGATGATTGGATTCTTTGAAGCTTAACAAAGATGATGGATGAGAAGCTTAAATCAAACATGGCTTCAAAAAAGAAATCGAAGAAATTAACAAATCAATGTGATTTCTAGACAAACACAGGAAAACTGATTATGATATCAGGAGGAATTGTGAAATTTTTTTGCATAGCTGACAGCCATTGGTTAACTATGCTTTTGAAAATGTCTCAAGAAATTCATAGTTAAAACAAAACCTGATAATATATTTATAATCGTTAGAGGAAAGTTAAATTTAATGTTTTTCATTGTTTTCATTGTTTTGTTTTAAAGTTTTCTGGAAGATAGCTAGGTAACTATAATATATAAAGTATGTGTATACTCAGAAAAACTTCGAAACTCTTTTCTCTGTAAGTTATCTTCCATAAATTTACAATAAAGCATGGTCTGACACCGGAAGTGATAATACTTTTTCACTGATATGAATTAGTTTCTTATTTCGGGCTCCGGGGCCATGAAACTTAGATGAGCTCACATTTGATCTCAGTCTCACCTTTTCTACTATTAATTCCTTCGGTAAAAGTAAGACTGGGATCAAAAGTGAGCTCGTCTAAGGTTTATGGCCCCGGAACCTGTTCCTATGTTTACCTGAAGAATAGTGTAGATCCAAGAGTTGTCTTTTCTCCCAGAACGTAACCATTCCAAAAGTTCTTCGGATAACCACAGTCAATTTCTGCTTTAGAGATAAGAAAAGAATTCTATTGATAATTTGATACAGCCTCTTCTACAAAACTTCACAAGGCTCTTCACATGAAATATAACCCAATTGCCTCCTACCTTGAAGTATAGTTCTTGATCCAGGGATTTAGTTTGATCACATACCTGTACAGCTAACGTCGTTTCCGCTCCACTCGCCATTTTCCATACAGCGTCTTTCAATGGAACCCTCAAGCTGTAAGCCTGCGTCACATTCAAATCGAAGGACGGTGCCAAAAGCGTTCCCGGAACCCCGTATTCTCCCACCCACGGGGGACTTTAGGATTGGACAGTCAATCGCTAGAGTAAAGCAAAAAGGGCACAGATTCTAAAATGTCTACAAACTAAAAAAACGTACTCCATGAAAATCCTTTATGCTTTTTAGAGTTAAAATAAATAAAACAGATTGGTTAATTTGTAGGTAGGAGGCAATATGGGTTACAGAACAGGAAATCCAAGGAGTTTGATTTGACACTATTTCTATCACCTACCCACACAGCTTGGGGACTCTGAGGACCACTGCCCATTTGCTTGACATGTTGAAGTCTCGTTCCCTATCAGTTTGTAGCCTTCCCGACACACAAATCTGACGGAATGAGGGTACGTAAAGTCTATACCCTCAATATGACCATTCTCTACTGTATAGGGAAATCCACACTCAACCGCTAAAATAAAAGATATCTTTGTGAAATAACATGAGGATAATAAGTCATTTTTCACATGAATATTTTATAGTTGTTAAGTATTGCAATATTAATCAGTGTTAAAAAACAAGATTTTTATGTTGGAAAGTTGACTTTAAAGAGATTAAATTAATGTTTCAAATTAAAATAGGTATATAACTGCACACAATTTCGTTAATGTGCCATCAAACTTCATGGGTGTACTCACGTTTACAGGACATTCGTGGTCCCTCCCATCTTTCACCCCGCTCACACACTGCGCGGCTGTTGGCGTACCGATCCGTTAGCATAAATCCCTCCTGACACCGATATTGGATCTGAGACCCCACCGGGAACCTCTCTATGTCACCAGAGTCGTGGAAAGCTCTATCGACATATGGTGGACGGCCACAGGTTTCTTGAAATTTTAAAAGTAGTTTGCAAAAAACATTGTTATATGTAAAATAATGTATCTTTCAGTTTCATAACACGCAGATATGGGATTGTGTGCGCGTGTTTAAAAAATATAATCATATTTGCATTTTCATAATCATGAAATTAAAATTTACATGTACTCAGTAGCACTCTTAATTTGAAGGAAGTCTAATCCCCTTAAAATCAAACCGCGATAAAATAAGTAGACATTCATAAAAATGGCTCACCGCTCCCACCTTTTTCACATCGAGGCTCTTCTCCCTCCCACATGCTGTCTGATTGACAGGTGCGCTCTGACCTTCCGGCAAGATAATAGCCCGGATTACAGAAGTACTGAACTTTGGAGTTGACTCCAGTGGAGGCGGGGATGATGACTCCACCGTTAAGCGGTTCTGGGGGTTTGGGACATCCAGCAGCTGACGAGGAAAATGGACAGAAGTCAGAGAGTTAATTCAAGTATTTAAGGAACGTAAAGACCATTTAAGGATCCTCCATAGTTCATACATAGCATTCTATTTATGGTTTATATTCCAGTATTTTGAATGTAATGAATGTAATGCACTTGAAAATACCAGCGTATATGTCCAGATATTAATAAGAAAAAAAAAACAACAACAAAAAACAGCCATAAAGAAAATTTGTTTTCATAAATACTTTATAACAAAGACCTACCCTGACAGGTCATTTTTGGTCCAACCCACTCGCCGCCCACAATACACCACGCCCTTTCCACGTTATCCGGGTTTTTCATGTAGTCCTTGTTACAAGAGTACTGCAACATAGTTCCTGAGGGATACCTCTCCCCCGGGCCAAGTTCTCTGCCATTATGTGTAGCAAAGTCTATTTTGGGTGGGGATCCACAACCTTCTCTGTCTTTATTAATATGAATATTAAAGTTAAAACTACATTTAAGAGAATGCCATTAAAATATTGAAAATACGATCAATACATTTACTTACATGTGCATTAAAATCATGTACAGTTGTCTGTGGACACTTTATGTATGTATTTTTCACATTCATCATTTATTTTATTCATCAAAGATAATCAAATGTATCCCCTAAACCTTGTCTTCCAAGGCGTCAATTATTTGGTTGCATCTTGGGATCTGAAATATACACATACCACTCCCTTTCGATAAGACACATTTAGGAGCCTCTCCTCCCCACTGACCATCCCCCTGACACACTCTGTCCTTCTGACCCTGGATCTCATACCCCCAGTCACATTCATAAGTGGCGATCCCTCCGAACATGTTCTGGGGCTTGATGTCAACCCGGCCATTGGGAATTGTCTTCTCCAACTTCTCACATCTGTGATCTGTAAAAAGTAAGTATAGAAGTATAATTTATCCTGTTTTTCTACGGATATAAAAAAGAAGTCGATCTTTTAGGACTGACTCACAAAGTGATGAATTCAATATGGAACCTTTAAGTTATATATTATTGTCAATATATAGAGAAAGAGGCTATGTAGAACATTAATTTTCAGAATATTAGATTTAGATTTACATCCATTAGGGAAAAGATTCCGATCAGCCATCATAATAGCACTGTAACCTTGAGGTGTTAGATTTATAGCTTTCCATTACATAAGCCTGATAATACCAAACATAAACCTGATAATACCAGTTTCTGCAGGACCCATCAAAAGTTATTTATTAAAGGTCCCTTAATAGATAAGGTATATAACTTTGCAGTGTCTTAAAGTGTTAAGGGAACTGTTAATTAATCAAGACCAATCTATTACCTTAAAGAGACATCGTTTACATAGGGACCAAGAAAGATGACCGTATAAAGAATGTTTTACCAGTATCACCCACTGTATAAAGGATGTTTTACCAGTATCACCCACTGTATAAAGAATGTTTTACCTGTATCACCCACTGTATAAAGAATGTTTTACCAGTATCACCCACTGTATAAAGGATGTTTTACCAGTATCACCCACTGTATAAAGGATGTTTTACCAGTATCGGCCACTACATAAAGGACGTTTAACCAATATAGCCCACCATATCAAGGATGTTTACCAGTATCGCCCACTGTATACAGGATGTTTTACCAGTATCGCCCACCGTGTAAAAGATGCTTTACCAGTATAGCTCATCATATAAAGGATGTCTTGCCAGTATCTCCCACTGTATAAATAATGATGTACCAGTGTCATCCACCGTATTCAAATAATTTTACCAGTATCTCCCGCCGATTAAAGGATGTTTTACCAGTATCGCCCACCACTGTATAAAGGATGTTTTACCAGTATATCGCCAAAAGATGTTCCACCAGTATCACCCACCGTATAAAGGATGTATTACCAGTATCACACATCGTATAATGATGTTTTTACCAGTATCGGCCAACATTTAAAAGATGTTTTACCAGTATCGCTCGCAGTATAATATAGGATCTCCCATGAGTTGTGTGTTTTTTATCCCCGAGCCTTGGCGAGGGGATAAAAACACACAACAAGTTGGATAAAAGTCATATCAACCTACAAATCATGGGAGATTCTTTTTATCCCATGTTTAATACTTCACAACCAATGTTTTACACTGTTTTATATAGGACTCAACTTTATTTTAATTCATCACTTAACAATTAGTATGAAAAAAGTCAGTCAGCATTTGACTTAATGATAGAATGTATTTTTTGACAAGGTCATTGTATCGACCATAGAACTTACGAAATGATGACTTTAAACGAGACTGCTGATAATCTTGTTTGATAAAAGTCATATCCAGCTACAAATTATAGCAGATTTTGCAAAGGCTCGAAGATAAAAAACACAAAACTCATTGGAAAAGATATATTCAACTACAAATCATGAGAAATCTTATATTTATCCTTTTTATTTAAAATGTGGGCTAGATTTATATGTGTAGCAGATTTAATTAATCTTTTATGCTTAATTTTACATGATGACTTCCTTATTTTATTTTCATAATTTTCATGTCTGTTATTTTATTTGGCTTAATATCTGTAATCTATAAATTAAAACTCCTCCCTGCCTAAAATGCATTCGCTGAGAAGAAGATACTTTTGTAAGAGGGATTAGTTTTACAAGTCATCGGAGAAATGAATTTTCCATTTACATGTATATATAAAGAAAAAGGCTAAATGAGTACTTAAATATATAAGTATAGCTTTGATATTATTGTTTGAAGTGTTTCCAACACTTGACAATGTCTTTGGATTATCACCATTGATAAATGATATTTTTGTACTTTAAGTGCGAGAATGTCTGACAGACAATTTAAGCTGATTTCAAACATCAATACGCCATACATATACATTTAAGGCATTATATATAAACAGGGCACGACGATTAGTAGCTATCTAGACCTTGAAGGTGTTAGATCCATAAATATAAAAAATATATATGAAATAAAATCAATAACAATCCAGTATCTGAGTGTTAGGTCCATGATCTATCCATATATATAAATTATTAAATGAACGCATTCTCAGATAATCTACTTCGGTTGATACAGCTATATCTACAATTCCTCACTAAATGAATAACATCTCTGATCACCTACTTTGGTTGATACAGCTATATCCACAGTTCCCATCACATCTACACGTCTTCCTCCCACTCTTACACGGATTGTCCTCTGGGTGACACGCCTTCTGACATTCCCGGCCAGTCACAGGTTGACGGTCCGGACATGTGTAATCTGAAAAAGACAGTTTTAATACTAAAGAAAAATATTTATAGAAAATACATATACTAATTCATCCTCTCTTCCTATGTGTAAGACTTCTCAATACAGTAAAACTCGGTTATAGAGAAGTTCTGGGGACCTGAGAATTTACTTCGCTATATCCGTAATTCGTTATATCCGTATAATTTAATTTTGTTTGTATTCTAGCCTCTGATTGGTTAATATCCAAAAAGGAACACATATTATTTCTGTATAACCTGGTTTGGTATGGGGACACACCCCTCTGACAACCAGCTGAATCATCTGTATCCATACAATCCTCTCATTTCCAGTCCTCGGGATTCATGGAAAATTCCAGATTTAATAAATGTACCTTTAACTTCAAACAATAATTCGATCTAACCACATGTAAACAAACAACAAGGCTGCTAGGCCTATATATCAGTTTTTACCTCCCCTCGCTTCCCATCACTTCCGTTACTACGGTTGTATTATTGAGCGGCAAATTTGAACTAATAAAAAGCAACGAAATTTTACACCCATAATTATTTAATGATTTTAAAATTAAATTATAAGGAATGACTCTAATTCTTAGCCAAATTATTCGAGTATAACCTGGTTTGGGTCAGTTTACGCTGTTTTATAATCCTCTTCGTGGATTATAAAGCGTAAACTGGCCCAAACCAGGTTATACTCGAATAATTTGGCCAAGAATTAGAGTCATTCCTAAAATAACAAATTCATTAAAGTATATATAGCGACTTCGCAATATAGATTTTTTTCCTTGAAGTATGACTATCAAATGTATTTAGGGAAGTATAAAATATAAAATTTACCTTTGATTTCTAAATATATATACTTACAAAGTAAATGTCAGTTCAATATTTTAAAAACTAAATTCTTTAAAAATTCGCTATAAAAGATGTAAATTTCGTTATTTTTAACTTCTAGGGGACACAGAATCGATTCGCTACAACCGTAAATTCATCATATCCGAATTCGTTATATCCGTAATATTTTACAAGGAATTGTTAAGAATTTCGCCGGGGATTGCAAAAAACTTCGCTTTATCCGTAAATTCGTTATATCCGTGTTAGTACTAAACGAGTTTTTACTGTATACATATCTCACTAGGGACCTTACTGAGATAAATATAGCACTGAATGATTATAATAGGATAATAAATACAAAATAATATAACAGTTCTACAGACAACAGACAGAAAACACTAAATATTTAACAGAATGATTCTGTAGAATCTGTTACAATATTGTATGTTTACTGTCCGGTAACTACTCATTCTGTAGAATCTGTTACATTATTGTATGTTTACTGTCTGGTAACTATTTATTCTGTAGAATCTGTTACAATATTGTATGTTTACTGTCCGGTAACTACTCATTCTGTAGAATCTGTTACAATATTGTATGTTTACTGTCCGGTAACTATTCATTCTGTAGAATCTGTTACAATATTGTATGCTGACTGTCCGGTAACTATTCATTCTGTAGAATCTGTTACAATATTGTATGTTTACTGTCCGGTAACTATTCATTCTGTAGAATCTGTTACAATATTGTATGTTTACTGTCCGGTAACTATTCATTCTGTAGAATCTGTTACAATATTGTATGCTGACTGACTTTTTTGCTGCAGTATTCCTTGTTTACTGTATGATATCTATTCATACCGTGGATTCTGTTACAGTATTTCTTGTTTACTCTATGGTACTCTTCATACCATGGATTTTTTTTTACATTATTTCTTGTTGGCGTTGGACACTATCCGAAAGAAACGGCAGAATACTGTACAAGAAAAGCGGGGCACAACTACCCGAGAGAGAAGGCAGAATACTGTTCCAGAAAAGCGGGGCATACCTACAGCAGAATACTGTATCAAAAAAAGCTGGGGGACAATTACCCGAAAGAAACGACAGAGTACTGTACCAGAAAAGCGGAAGACAACTACCCGAAAGAAACGACAGAATACTGTAAAAGTGGAAAACATTGTGGTGGTTTTAAATTCACTATGTTCGCGATCAAAGCATTTTCCGCGAACATTAAGACATCGTGAATGTTGTCGACATAATGTAGCATTTTATATCTATACATTTTAAAAGCATGTTTTCGTATTTTATAAAAGTAAAATAGTGATTCATTGAAAATCAAGATCATCCCAGCTTATAACAATTGCAAGTTAGAGCTAGTTTCTTGATGCGTTTTTTTTTTTTTTTTTTTTTTTTTTTTTTTTTTTTTTGAATTGTTTACAATTACTGTCTTGACTTTTTTTTAGAATACATCATTCAATAGCAAATGTTTAATAATAAGAAATTCAGTGATCGTGAAATTAAAACCACTGTGAAATGCACAACATAGGAAATCATGAAATATTGAACACGTGAAATTTAAATTTACAGTATTGCATCAGAAAAGCGGGGACAACTACCCGAAAGAAACGGTAGAATACTATACCAGAAAAGCGGGGGACAACTACCCGAAAGAAACGGCAGAATACTGTACCAGAAAAGCGGGGGACAACTACCCGGAAGAAACGGCAGAATACTGTACCAGAAAAGCGGGGGACATCTGCCCGAAAAAACGGCAGAATGAATATATGTACGGCATTCAGGCTCAAACGTCCATTAACAATACAAAATAGGAGCAGAGCAAACACGGACCTCTAAGACATCAGAGGTGGGATCAGGTGCCATGAAGGAGTGAGCATCCCCTGCCGACCGGTCACACCTGCCGTGTGCTCCTTGTCATTATCAGGAAATAACGGGGAAATCCGTCAACAATTCAGCTTGTAAATAATGGCCTAACAATTAGTATGAAAAAACGTCAGTCAGCATTTGACTTGATGAAAGATTGTATTTGCTGACGACCATAGAACTTACGAAACGATGACTTTAAACGAGACTGCTGATATTCTTGTTTCATCAACTTGTTTGTCAGTTACTTACCTCGTTTAGTGAATTGTTTATACGTAGAGCGATGGGCTGGCGTCAACTGAGAGATATAAACCCCGTATGCAGGTGATAAGGGTATATTGCTGTATTAGTAAGGGGAAATTGACGATTGAAAAGTTAGTCATCACGTTTGTCATAAAGCTTTGTTGTTAGATTACCGTTAACGTCTTTTTCAAGTAAAATATCCGAATATGAAACAGATGTGTCAGACTATGTGGTATCTTTTATCTCAAGCTCACCGGGATATATCGTATCGACATAAAAATGGAAATAACCATTATTAATTGACAATACGTCGTCGATATATCTTAATGTCGAGTTGAAGGCCACAGCAAGTGTTTTCTTCTTTTCACGTATAAGATTTTAAACAAATTCTGCTTCATATGAATACCAAAAAAGGGTCTGCTAATAACGGGGCGCAGTTGGTACCCATGGGAATTCCAATAGATTGTTTGAAAACCTGGCCTCCACAAACCACACAGATACTGTCAATCAGAAACTCGAGCATCTTTTTAAAGTCAACTTCAGAGTACTTGTGTACAATCAGATTGTTTTTTAACAAAGTAATTTTGCAAATGACCAATGAAAAGGTAAGTAAATTTACGAGTTCTATTTTTATTGAAAAAGCAGCCGTCAACGACTTCAGAAGGTCTGGACTTTAATTTATCGTGGGGAATAGTTGTATATAAAGTTGAAAGTCGTAAGTTTTTATCTTCTTGATTTTGGTAAAATTTTGTGATTTCAAATGTTCCAAAAGTTCCTTGGAATTCTTTAGTATCCACATCTGATTTACACCACTTCTCGAAAAGCGGGGGACACCTACCCGAAAGAAACGACAGAATACTGTACCAAAATAGTATTAATAACTACCAGACAGGAAACATTGAATACTGTGGCAGTACCTACAGATGAATAAAACAGGACAGAAACCAAAACAAAAAATACGTAACAGAATAGTATGAATAGTTACCGGACAATTCACAGACAATACTGTATCATTTCGTTGATTTTGAGTTTACTAGGTAAATGTTAGTTCACGAAACATTCTGTGTACCCTTAGGAAGCTAAATACACAGTATGGATTTCTTTTTTCACAAAAGAAAGATTTATGTTAAAATGGATTGGATGCTATTAGAGAGTTTCTATTAATCGATCTTCGTTTTTATTTTAATAGGTTTATCTGTAAGCTATTCAATGGATGGTTATAAAAACGGCATTTTGTGATTTTTTAAATCAGGGATGTTTCTGTAGCGATCATTTTAAATGATAATAAACTACTTTGTTGCCTGCCTCAGTAACATAACTTTACTTTCAATGCAATGGAGTCTTACAAAAGCAGACTGTGTACTAACAGAGAGATAGAATAACAGTCATAAAATCTGGAAAGTCTAAAACTAATATTGATAGGACTCGAGAGAGACCTCATGTTCTGATACTGTGGATATGATAGCGTTCATTTAACTTTAACAATTGTTATGACAATTGTGGTTCCATTTTCTAATCAATGAAACTAGGCCCAGAACGAAAACAATTACAACACTCTCAAGCCTCAATAGATTTACAAATAGAAGTGAACCTTGCGAACTAGCCTTGAGTCTAGATTGAGTTCCGACAGAAGAATTAACACTTTTGATGAGTGTTTTTTCTTTCTCAAGTAGAAATTTGAATTCCTCCGCGATATCGAGTAGACAAGGCTCCTGGACATGGGAAATTATACGGCATTGCTACAATCACAATCAAGAGAGAGATCTGGAAATGTTCATAAGTAGAGAAAAGTACCTCAGCTCCCGGCAAACCTGCAAAACTCAGCTCTCAGCATCTAAGTCAAACTGTCCCATAGGGTTCAAGGTAATTCCAGATAGTCATGAGAATTTCAGTTGTAATAATTTTTTTCTTAAAACACTTATAATTTTTGAGAATTTATAACAATATAGCACTGATCAATTGCTTTAATTTTGTTTTTTTACAGAACGGAACGAAAATATAATGTGCAACAATAATCTGGACAGTGAGTTCTGAATGGAAAAAAAAAATGGCAGAGAAACAGCAAACATTCAGATTTAAATTAACAACACTGGGCAACTTTGTAAACGATTTTTGGAATTTGGTTACAAAAAGATATATCTTTGGACTTCAGCAGTGAAATTTTAGGAACTTAAATTAACAACACGTTCTTGTACTTAATAACCTTTACATTTGGCAGCTGTGATTGTTTTTTGTGATTAATTTACTACATTTACGAAAATAAAGAGTTATAATTGGCCAGTGTTTGCAATTGAAAATCAGACAATCTGATATTGAATTACGTCACTGTAATTTCAAAGCGCCAATAAGACAAAAACCAATAGAAAATTGACATTAACCAAAAACGCATTTTTTTTTTGTTTTGTTTAGGTTTGGGATGATGTCCTGAAATTTCAATTTTCAAAGGCTCGTTATTTGCTTTTTTCTATTCTTTAAAAAGAAGGTACATGTATTCCTTTAATTAGTTTTATGTGCTTGCATCTAACTTAAGATCAAAATTCTAGAGTAATTAGCACAAGGAAAAACAAAACAAAATCAAGAAAAACCCAACGAAATACACAGCTTAAAATTAATCGTAAAATGTTATTAAACCCAAGCGTTCAACAATTTGTTGTCACATTTTTTTTTATATATTCATTTCCATGTTTTGTATTTGATGAAGGCACAGTAAAACATCAAAATACTTATTTTTGTGCAATATTTCCTTAATATAAAAATAGACAGATATAAATCTTCCAGTATCTAAAATAGTGTGGGACATTTTTTCTCCTACAACAGAAAAACTTTGCGTAAAAGCAGCTAAAAAGCTCTCTGTTGTTTTCATCTGTTGACTCGAGGAGGAAGCAAACGGAAGAAATGTCCGGATTATGGGGCTCGGATTTACCAGGAAGAGGCGTCATTGTTATTGATAACAAGCATATTGAAAATAAATCATCTACTTTTGTGTAATACAATTTCAATATACTCAACGATTGTCTCTGAATAAGAAATTCAGAAAGTGTTGTTGTGTTGTCACTTTTTAATCACTAGCATGAATTCCCCAAATCTAATGTTACTCATTTTATAAGACGTTTTGTTAATTTTCTGGCCGTTCTCTATTTTTCCTTCTTTTTCTGCATTTATTTGGGGGCAAAAATATTTATTTTTAAATTTCAGTGAAGAGAATTTACATGTACATATGCAGTGTTATATAAATGGTATATCTGCAGTGTTATATGGGTACATGCAGTGATATATGGGTATATGCAGAGATACATGGGAAAATGCAGTGTTATATGGTATATGCAGTGTTACATGCTTATATGTAGGTCACATGGATATACAGTTTTACATAACTACATGCAGTGTTATACGGATACGTTCAGTGTTACATGAATACGTGCAGTGTTACATTGATACCTGCAGTGGTACATGGATATAAACAGGGATACATGGACGTTTTCATTGTTTCATGGATATAGGTAATGTTACATGAATATATGTAGTTTTGCATGGAATATATAAAGTTACATGGATATATACAGGGTTACATAGATATATGCAATGTTACATAGAAAAATGCAGTGTTGCATGGATATATACAGTGTTACAGAGATATATGCAGGGTTAGAAAAGATCTTGGTTTAGGTTTATGGCACGGAATAATTCTTCAAATGACCTGTATGTAGCGTGCATGAGAAACAAACAATATTTCTGTGTGTCAAAGAAAACGATCAATCACTGATCTTTTGGTATTCTTCTATGCGAACGAAATCATTTCCAGATGCTAATAGCTTCCATTTCCCTCCATTTTGTTAGAAGTTAATTATATAACTTTTTGATGAATTTGACAGAATGCAAAATCTTTCAAGAGCATAAGCGTGTCAGAACGAGAGTATCAATTGACTAATTAACATATCGCAAGATTCTTTGTGAGTTTCAGTGCATCAGTTATGCAGGGCTTTCCTAGAAATACAAGCGTCATTTCAACATTGATCAGATAGAAGGAAAGTTGAGATTAAAGGAATATGCGTTTCCCCTGTTTTAATGGTTAATTTTTCGTTTATCGACGACCAGAATGAGATCAAAGTAACTAAATATGATCTTTTAATGATTATTAATGGAATGAGTTACTCAAGTATCAATGACATTACATTGAAATTCACGTAGCTCATTTTCCCCATCTGGCAAATTATTATTTTCTTAATGTTGCTTTGGGAATTTCTTCCTACTGTAAATCTCTTTGTGTTGATTTCTGTTTTGTGCAGACATAAACATAAATCAAAATCAATTTGTTTCAAATTTCTTAGTTTTATTTGACATATTTTGAATAGGAGAATAAAGTTGTAGGTTGGGTTCTCGATACATAAATACAGTCTCTTATAAATATATTTTATACCTACCTTGGGTGGCTACACGCAGTGTAAAAGGTAGAACCAAAAGAAGATGAAAATGTAAATCCGGACGCATTCTGGAAAAAAAATTCACAGTCTTCAGAGATGAAATTAATTCTATAGCGGTTCCTGTCAAATTCCCAACACGCGCTCACACAGAGGCTAAACGAAGTCTGAACAGAAAGAATTCAGTCATTAGAGCTGTTATACAAACGTGATCAATTTGTGCCATTGTGTTGGAATTCAACGGCGGAAAAACGGATTTTCAGATTGGTTTTCTATTATCAGCTGTTTAAACCATCATCTAAAGATTTCATTGGTCATGGTCTGAGGAAACGTGATGGTCATTAAAACAGCTTTCCAGGAAAGATGAATTCCAAACAGAAAATATCACTTGCCAATAAATTATACGCTTCCTTTAATTTCTTTTTTTTCTCTCGAAATAATTCTATGTTGTTTTTTTTTAATATAGAATCCTTTCTAGAATATAGACAATCATCACTAGTGTGAATGCTGTACTTGGGGGTGACGCCGATCTGATTAAGTCTGGTTGTTTGGTCCCCGCCAGAGAGCGCAATAAGGAAATGATGAATCCAAGACATGCTATATGATCATAGTGATCAATATTAATTGTCATTTCATTAACACTCGACCCACATCGGCACAGAGCGTCTTCTTTTAAAGTGACATCAATAGCGGAAAACTGAAGTACACACACACAGTTCTTCAGAGATTATAGAAAATATATTTATCAATTAAAATATAATTCCTTTAAAATAATTTCAGAAGCACTATTTATGAATGAAAAATATTTCTTGTTTGCTTATCGGAATAAACTAGTTATTTAGAGTCTTTTTTCCACTTTCATTACGATGAAAGTACGTGTTGATCAGAAAGCTTTTGTTTCGCATTTCGTGACTAGGACAGAGATTCGAATTATTTCAAACTGCGTATGTATGTAATCAAGAAAACACTATTCTCAGGTCTCTGGTCAACTCTTTCTGCCGACATAGGACTGCCCGGACTCTTTGTGCCAATAGCGCCCCCCCCCCCCCTCCATCTGCCATCGGACCATCTTTGAATCTTCTGTCAACATACAAATATGCCAACAAACTTAAATATACCAATTCTCTCTCTCGCTTTATACATCTGTGACTCTTAAAACTCTTCTATTGTTCTTGCCAAAAAATAGTAAAATTCTGTAAGCCTCTCTCGCTTCTTCTTGCGAAAATTCTAGCTAGAACGATGTTCATGATCATTGTTTTGATGAATTTCACATAGTGCTACTATGTGGAGTGAATTAAACTGCAATTTCTATTGGTAAATTTTAAATCCCTTTGGAGAAAATTACAAAATCCGATCCTTCGTTATTTTGGTGAATATGACACTAGTGGATGATAAATGATAACATCAATGCATAATCAATATAAAAAAAAAATGGAATTCTTCATATCGCAAGAAGAAAAAAAGCAGTGGAAGCTTGGTGACTATGATCCACATAATAGCGTTTACAATACAAAGAATTCGAGAAATTGAGCTTTAAATACTTACAGAAAAAGTAGTTTGGATTCCAAAATCACTTCGACATGGGTCTGGTATTCGAGATGTGAATTTTCAGATACCGAATTTTATCTGAAACTAGAAGCTGCGATCAAAATTGCAGTTTTATTACCATTACGCTGCTGTTTAACTAGATTTTGAGGTTATTTTTTTTTCAAAATTTCCCACATTTAGAAACATGTGGCTAATGAAAGACTTCATTGTTGCATGGAATGATAAATATTTTTAAAAGAGTAGATTGCTCACAAACCCTCACACCTACACCTTCTGTTAAATGTATGTCATATGCAGATTCTGAAATATGATTAGACGTATATATTCAACATTGCGATATTTTTGCAAGTTTGGTCATTGTTGAACTTGTAAATACTTGGGAAGAAATCTTCCTCAGAATTTCTAACTGGTCAAAGTTCTGAAAACTTATTGCACGTCCACATTACATTGCCAGTCCTATCGGATAGAACTGTTCTGATCCAATGTTCCAGTGACAAGCTTAATTTCTAAACCACATCTTTTCTCCTGGGTATGTGCACATCTAGGACTACAGGAAAAGAAAAGAAAAGAACATTTATGGCTACCTCTCAATACGTAGAGGGAGGAGAAATGAAAAGATGGACAGGAATAATAATACGTTACAGGAATTTCTTTAGAAAGTACGGGTATCATAAACTAAAAAAAAAATCTTCCTAGTCTCTAGGGAGATAATTAATAACTCGAAACAATATATATTATTAAACTTTCATGTAAATTAGTTGAATCTGATTCGTCGATCGAGAAACATTTGTTAAAAAACATTATTATACTTCTGTTAAAATGTTTCCTATATAAAGTTAAGAAGGTAAAATAACTATTTTTATAGTCTCAAAATTTCCACACATAGCAAAGCTATACCCCGGGGTATAGTTTTTGCTATCCACCCCTCGGAAAATTTTCATGCAATTTTTCCGCCAATTTTGATTTCCTGTAATCAATCTATAGACTTATGATGTCATCCTGACTTCAGTAGCATTGTGACGTCATCAGGATTTCAGCTCATTCTAGCAGTGTTATCTTATTCCAAATACTTGTTCAAAACTTTCATAAATTATTTTTTTTCTTCATGATTAAACTATCGAACTGTAGTATCAGGTAAATACAACACTCAGAAATTATGATATACATCAGTATAATAAAACGCTTATCCACTGGCTGTGAGTGGGATAGCTCTTTCATCAAACCCTTGACAGGAACTATTCCCCTCGGGCAAGCCCTCGGGGAATAGTTCCTGTCGCGGGTTTGATAAAAGAGCTATCCCACTCACAGCCAGTGGATAAGTGTATACTATTACCCGCTGAATAATGAAACCACGCCCTCCTGCATAACAAGTCAACATTGCTTGACGACGGATGTTATTCCAAAAAATACTGACTGCGCAGAATTTATGAGCGCGGTTCACTGTAATATGTATTTGTATAAAACATTCAGTGTAACATAATAAATACTGCATGTAGTATGCACTACATGCAGTATTTATATATTATTTTCTGGTGAACACTCATATTTGTAATGATTTAAAAAAAATATTTTTGTTCTAATCATACCTCTTTTATTTATAATTACATACATGCCAACTTTTGAAAATTCCCATGGGGGATTTTGCGCGTGACGACAATTTTCAAAGCTTTAAATTCGCGACATTTTGTCGTGAAAATAAATGTTTATCCCCTTTTTTTAAAATTTTTAATATCAATATCACTTGTTAATACAATTTAAGAATAAATAATACAAACAAATTTTTTCCTTCCAAAATTCAAATATCTTTTCCTTAAATAGGTACCTCTCTCACTAAAGAAGTGATATCTGTTTAGTTTAACAACATTATGTTTGAAAAGACACATAATTTGGTGAAAAATGTGAAAATGTACAACTTTCAGTGCAATAAATTTTTTTTCAAAGTTTTAGAAATATATGAGATTTTGTTACTGTTCAGTTTCTAGGAAACATTTGTAAAATTCTATATTTACATTTTACACAATTAGAATTTTCTAATTAGACATTAAATTGAAAAATTGCAATGCATTGTGTGTGTGAGGGTGTGTGTGTGAGAGAGAGAGAGAGAGATAAGAAAATTTGTTTGTGGTATGTACTTTAAACAGAAGTGTCATTTTATTTTCTATAAATAACTACTTTCTAGACATCATGATGATTAATTATTTCACACACACAAAACAATTTGAAGAAATAAATTTACTCTTGAGATAATAAATTATTTAAAACAAGGATACCCCCTATCCCAAACAAAAATTAAAATTGTTATAATCATGATGAACTTTTGCATAACCTTGGCAGTGTTGTGTGGGTATTCCCTTGTGATATTACATGGGGGGGGGGGGGATTCAGTGTACTTGAGGTATAAGACTTTGTTGTTTCATCTAAATTATTTTCATCTTATTTTAACCGGTAAACTTTACAATATTTTTATTACAAGCAGATAAAATCAGCAGCTATGCTTTGTTGTTTTCTACTTTCGTTTTTAAAAAAAAGATCAACATGGATTAATTCCGATTTTGTTGTTAGTTTATCATATCACTGTATTGATTTTTTTTGTTTTTATTAAAATGATATTTAATTAAACCCTAAATCTATGTGTTTCACTATGCTTAACCGCCCCAGGCTATGTTACCTGTACCTAGACAACTGTGTGCGTTCAAGCGAGAGGTGATTTCCTGTGGCTAATTATCACCTCTGCATGAGTTAAATAAACAAAGAGACTAATCTGTGTGCATTGAATAAACAAGTCTGATAGTCAAATCCCGATTGACAAAATATTTCGGTAGGGAAAATCGGAAATTTTAGGTTGAATTTTTTCAAATCGGGATTTTAGAGCAATTTTGCTTTTCCGATCGGGAGAGCGGGATCAAAGGGTAAAATCGGGAGGATCCCGCCTAAATCGGGAAAGTTGGCATGTATGTAATTAAAACTGCATTCCCTAGTTTGTAGCCTAATTAACTGCAAGCGTGTGAATCAAGACCATTTTCTCCATAAATATAACACCTTTCGTGTGTAGCTCTCATCGATGCTCTCATCATGATCCATCTGAGATCTAATTATCAGGGAGACAAGTCATTATATTCCCAAGAACATAAAAAAAAAACATAGCCCAGGTGGCACAGAATGTATTGATAGCGAATTAATTTGTCTAAAAGCTCATGTTGTTTCTGTACTTTTTGTGTGGCTATTACGCAGCAATTCATGTATTTTCCTGGAATTTTTTATTCTCACAGCTCAAGTCAGAAGTTCTCCGGTCATTTCATGGACTATCATGATATTTTACCCCAAGACCGTTTTCAGAATGTGTAAGCCCAAACTGAAGTGCAATACCTTTTTTTTTTTGAATTTTAAGTAATCAAGGTATATATACACTGTAATGTGCTGGTTACACCTGAGCTCTGTTCTCTTCATATGTAGTTCGTAAGTTATAACGGATAATGTATTGTTTTCCACAGAAAATTTACTACAACAGAAAAAAGAGGTCAGAAGTCTATTTTAAATATATATATATATATATAAGACAAAAATTTCCATTCATATGTCGGCTCGATATATCCAAGTGAGCTTGAAATAAAAGATACCACAGAGTCTGACACATCTGTTTCATATTCAGATATTTTACCAGAAAAAGACGTGCATATGGGGTTAATGTCTCTCAGTTGATTTGATACGCAAGAGCAGGCTCTACGTACGAACAATTTCTAAAACGAGTCAAGCTACTGGCAAACAATTTGATGAAACAAGAATATCAACAGCCTCGATTAAAGTCAGCATTTCGTAAGTTTTATGGTCGATACAATGACCTTGTCAGCAAATACAGTCTGTCATTAAGTCATATGCTGACTGACGTTTTTCACACTAAATGTTAGGCCATTATTTACCCGCTGAATTGTCTAGGGATTTTTCCGTTTTTGGAAAATGACCATCCATAATGTCGCTTTACATCACACATGACTCTAATTGGTATCCGTTGAGAAAATATGCCAAACACCCCTCAAGCCTCACGCACGGCTAGTGAGATAGGGAAAACTCATGACAAGAAGCACGCGGCGGGGTGTGATCGGTCGGCAGTTGTTGCTCACTCCTCCATGGCATCGGATCCAATCTCTGATATTTAAGAGGTCCGTAGGCAATGATGATCAATCATATAACGAAATTATTTAAAAGAACGTGAAAAGAAGAAATCGATTAGCAAAACACCACTTGATTGAGATACATTTGGCATATTGTTCAATACAATGAGTCTATGTCAATCAAACACAGTACTGAAAGAAGTATATGGGTTTGGTGTATTCATCCCTGCTTCTATAATCGTGATTCAAGAGGAATCGCTTGATAGTGGATTGCAATCTCCTTCGCAGAGTTGTCGTTTGAACCCCTCTATGACACCTCTGCAATGGGCTCGCATCAAGATTTTTGACCTAAAGTAAAAAAAAAAAAACCATGATATTCCAAGCATTATTTGAAATTAAACAAATAGTTCTAGACCTATATAGTAAATTTATACCGTAAAGGACAAACATTAGTGTAGGCATTTAATCATAATGAATCAAAACATTCGCACTATTTCTCGTGCTCATCACTGTGATATACGGTAAATGTTGTATGTGGTAAATGTATGAGCTGATAGTAGAAAGTGGGGAAGGGGGATTATAGTATCAGGGTCTGGTCACTCGTAACGGAAAGTCATAACTTGCCTTATCAAAGCAATTAACAAGCTATAATAGCTTAAGCACATTATTCAAGTTCATATCTTGGAATACATTAATTCAAATAAAACTATTTTTCAATACAGGTTCATGCCACATGTATCTTCTTATAAAATTTCATAACTTTTAGAAAGTATTTACATATAAATCGAGCAATCATAGAATACGTCACCAGTAGTCATTAATGTATCTTTAGAATAAAAATTAAAATGTAAACGGCCCAAAAAATATGGCTAAGAATGAGTTTGCGTCCTTTTTTTAGACAAGAGAAAATAAAAGTAGTTTATCAATCTCTTTGTTGATAAATGGCTAGACCGCGTACATCTTGTTTGTGAGGCCTGGTTTTCTGAAAAGAAAACAGTTAAATCAG